TATTTTCGTTTCACAATTTTTAAAAAATAAAAAAATTGTCGTAATCTCTTCTGTATTGCTTATAATTTGCACTATAAATTTGGAGTTTTCAGCTACCAAAATCACCTTGTATCTGTCCTGATCTCTCTTTCTATATATATATATTGTCGCTCACTGTCTGTTTGTGTGCACGAGTGAGAGCGACAAGCCTGCAGGATGGCCATGGAGGTGGTTTTTGCAATATTTTTGATATTTATGTATTTCTTCTACAAAGTTACTTATGAAACAGTATCATTTTACTGGCTAACACCAAGACGAATCAAGAAAATAATGGAAAAACAAGGAGTGCGTGGCCCGAAACCCCGGTTTCTGCTAGGAAACATCATGGATATGGCTTCCTTAGTAGCGAAATCCACCTCCCAGGACATGGTTACCATCAGCCACGACATAGTTGGCCGCCTCCTGCCCCATTTCGTCGTCTGGTCCAAGTTATACGGTACAAGCCTATACCATTTTTTGTCATTTCAAACGTCATAAACGAATATGTGTGTCCTAAATCACTCAGTTAAGTTTATAGGATTTCCACTTGGCTGCTGTCCCCTTATTCTTACGTGTACTTTTGTGATCAGGAAAGAGGTTTATATACTGGAACGGAACTGAACCGAGAATGTGCTTGACGGAAACTGAACTGATTAAAGAACTTCTTTCTAAATACAATAGCATTTCTGGAAAATCATGGCTACAGCAACAGGGCTCTAAGCATTTTATTGGGAAAGGCCTTTTAATGGCCAATAGTGATGATTGGTACCACCAGAGACGCATCATTGCACCGGCATTCATGGGAGACAAACTCAAGGTATGTATATGCCGTGTGTGTACACACACACATTAGCAAGGACGGAGCCAGCACCCGACAAGCCATGGCGGCAGATTGTGCTGGCTCCGCCGGGAATTTTTTTTTTTCATATACTGGACAGCCACTCGAGTGGCTGCGAGCTACCGCCGTAGCTCACTCGAATTTCTGCGTACATATATGTCTGACGAGATGCATTTATATATAGTGTTTCTCGTTTATCTGCAGAGCTATTCGGGTTACATGGTGGAATGCACTAAACATATGCTCCAATCACTAGAAAATGCCGTAAAAGAGGGTCAAACTGAATTTGAGATCGGAGAACATATGACTCGTCTAACTTCAGATATTATTTCAAGAACTGAATTTGACAGAAATTATGAAAAGGGAAAGCAGATATTCCATTTGTTAACACTTCTGCAACATCTCTGTGCAAAATCAAGCAAAAACTTGTGCTTTCCCGGAAGCCGGTAGGTTTACTTCTTCCCATACATAAAAATAGAGGATTTTACTTTGTCTCCTCGACCCGTAGATCGACCTAATATTCCTGCAACATAAAAGAATTTCTCAGAGAGTCTTTTTCTGTGTCCGTTTTGTTTGTAGTTGTCTCTTATTCTCTTATAAATAGAGAAGAATATTCTAATCCTTGAATGACTCCTATGATTTATTATTCATACTTGTCAAGTCAAATAAAATTTATTATCCCAGCCATAAAGAAATTTATAAAGGACATGTATGAAAAAAAAATGAAGTCACGTTCTTGGAATTGACAGGCCAGAATCAATTTCCCAAGTGAGTCAATTCCATCAATACAAACAGCATTTAAGATAAACAGTTATTTAATGACTTATTTTGCAAAATTAATTATACATTTTCTGCAGATTCTTTCCAAGCAAATACAATAGAGACATAAAATCTCTAAAAGTGGAGGTGGAAAGATTACTGATGGAGATCATACAAGGTCGAAAAGATTGCTTAGAAATCGGTGAAGCGAATTCGTATGGAAATGATTTACTTGGGATGTTGCTAAATGAAATGCAAAAAAGGAAATCAGGCAGTGGATTTAGCATAAACCTACAATTGATCATGGATGAATGCAAAACATTCTTTTTCGCTGGACATGAAACTACAGCTTTATTACTCACTTGGACAGTTATGCTACTAGCCAGCAATCCTTCTTGGCAAGAAAAAGTACGTGCTGAGGTGAACCAGGTCTGCAATGGTGGTTCACCCTCTCTTGATGAGCTCTCAAAGCTCCCTTTAGTAAGATTTTTTTCCTCTCATTTTTCTTTATTATTTTACAGGTGACCTAAGTAGCATGTTCAATAGGTGAACTGTACAATAGTTGACACTTGACACAAAAGGATCTGGTGTTTCCTGTGCCGCCTCCAATTCGTTAGTCAGATAAAACTGTACACTTTTTGCATTTTTCCTTTTTAGTCTCGTCCACTACTATCTAATCTCACAAACAAACTTACCTTATGGATTTTTTACTGCTTGAAATTTATATATTAGAAATGAGGCCTGCATTAAAGGGTCTCAATCGATAGACTTAAAATTTGGAAGGGTTTCACCCTTCAAGGATGGTCGAGTTGATGGGGCAGGTGAATGTGAAGACCAAAGATTCCGAGTTCGAATATCCTGCCAACATTTCCTCGATCGAGTCCGTTGCACCAGACTTGCCTAGTATGATTTATCTATCTTATGTGGTTTGTGAGCTACTGCACATGGAACGAGATTTATCTAATGTGCACTCACAGTGGTCGGGGCTCCGCTGGCAGGTAGCGGCTGCGGGTTCCTATGTCAAAAAACAATTTTTTTAAATAAAATAGAAGGGTTTCAAACAATTTTGTTCAATGAACTTAACAAGTACAATGTTATTGTTGTGTGTTAGAGACCACAATATGATAATAGATTGAGTCTCATGGTCGTAAAAGAGGACGTTGCTTACCCTGAAATATTTGTAAGATGTTTGATGCACTTACAATTAGACCATGACAACTAAAATATTTTTTCTTGCATTTTTTCAGTTGAACATGGTGATTAACGAATCACTCCGTCTATATCCGCCAGCAACCGTTCTACCTCGAATGGCGTTCGACGACATCAAACTGGGGGATCTCCATATCCCGAAGGGTCTTTCAATTTGGATTCCAGTTCTTGCCATACATCACAGTGAAGAAATATGGGGCAAAGATGTAAATGAATTCAATCCTGATCGTTTTGCATCGAAATCATTTGCCCCTGGACGCCATTTCATCCCATTTGCCGCTGGTCCAAGAAATTGTATAGGCCAATCTTTCGCCCTAATGGAAGCCAAGATTATACTAGCCATGTTAATATCAAAATTCTCCTTCACTATTTCAGATAATTACCGCCATGCCCCTGTTATTGTTCTTACAATAAAACCCAAGTATGGTGTTCAAATCTGCTTGAAGTCCTTGAATCCATAAAACATTTACAGTTTGTAACATTATATCCTTAGTTTTCTTCTTCTTTTGATACATGAGATTGAGATTTCAAGATAAGTAATGTAAACTCTTATCTACTATTAATATAATAAATAAGTTTGCATGAAGATAAAGATTACGCGGTCTGATAAAGTGAATTTCCGTTTTTGTTATTTGGTTAGATTTTACGTGTGCCGCAAGATGTCAGACATACAACTACATTCTTAACTAGACAATAGTTCATGTGAATCTTGTCCTATTTTCTTCGCTTCCAAGTGATACGATGAATTTTATTTTATCCGACAAGAGGATTACCGAGGGTTTCCAGAGATAGTAGCAACTAGAAAAGCTGATATAGCGAAATTTCAAGCTCTTAGGCTTCGTTCTTTGGCTTGAAGAGCACCTACTTGCTCCCAAAGGTTGTCGAAAAGCACTTGATTTACTTGTCTCTCTTTCAACTTAACGTCGTTTTTATGAAGTGAAGGCAATTAGGTTTAGCATAAATATATTAAATCACATAAATTGTTCTGCTGATGTTCATTTGGTTTTGGTTAATTTTTCATTCTTTTTTTTTTAAATATATACAAAAAGTTCAAAATCTGTGAGATTAGTTTATAATTTCTTTTCTTTTATTGAATGATTATGAAATTTATAATTTATTATTGAATAATCAAATAAAATTTGTCAGAATTCAGAAATTACTAACCTGCAGATTTATGTTAATTATTTGCAGATTTTGAAAATAACATATACAAAATCCTTTGAAAAAATGGAGTTGAAGGAGTCATTGATTTTTATTTTTGATTTGTCGCAAGAATTTATGATTCTATTTTCGATTGTTGATAGTTTTGTGTGGATTATGTCCTCCATTTTGGTCTTTCTCACCAATTTATGTTTATGTTTTGATTAATAACGTATGAAATATGTTCTGAAGGTATAAGTTGATGTATTTATATTTCAACCTCGGAAATGTTCACGATTTTAGGGGTATTCATATAAGTTGCCCATCTTCTTTTAAGCAAAAAATCACTTTTGTGCCTCGCGCTTTTTTTTTATTTTTTTGGCGCCTAGATGCATTTTTTTACACTTTTTTAATGATTTTTTATTCTTTTTTCTTTAATTATTAAATGATTTTTAGATTGATTTAAAATTTTAAAATAATATTAAAATAAGAAGCCTTGCCTAGACTCGTCAAGCCAAAAGTTTGACCTTAACGCTTCGTCACGTTTTACACTTTTTAAAATACTGCTCTAAATACAATTAGTTGAGCCCTCTATTAATGCATTCAATGTGATTATGGTTGGTCAAAATTTTAAGTAATCCAAATACAAGGCCACAGAATATGAGTACCAAAAGTAACATCTACTGTATGTCTGTTCATCATTTATCAAAACGCATTTTTTCAATAAAATAATTTTGCAAATAAATTTAAATTTTTTTCTTATTTTCTAACCACACGTTAAAATCAATAGTAATAAATATATTCCCAAAAATGTGGCTCAGAGACATTCTTTTTATACAATTGCCTTAAAAACAAAAAAAACAAAAATTGCCTTAAATCTTTGAATTTTTTCTGCAGTGCTCATATCATTAGCACTATAAATTTGGACCTTCCATCCACCAAATCAAACCAGGTTCCAGTCCTGATCTGTTTCACCCTCTCACTCTATTTATAAACTGTCTCTCGCTGCGTGTTGTGAGATTGAAAGGCCTGCAGGATGGCTATGGGGGTGGTTTTGGCAATATTTGTCATATTTGTGTATTTCTTCTACAGAGTTGCTTATGAAACAGTATCATTTTACTGGCTTACGCCAAGATGCATCCAGAAAATAATGGAAAAACAAGGAGTCCGTGGCCCCGAACCCCGGTTTCTGCAAGGAAACATCAAGGACATGGCTTCCTTAGTTGCGAAATCTACCTCCCAAGACATGGATTCCATCAGCCACGACATAGTCGGCCGCCTCCTGCCCCATTTTGTCGTCTGGTCCAAGTTATACGGTACAACTTTATACCATTTTTCGTCATTTCAAACCTTGTAAATGAAAATTTGAATTTACGGGCATAATTTTGTGATCAGGAAAGAGGTTTATATACTGGAACGGAACTGAACCGAGAATGTGCTTGACAGAAAGTGAACTGATAAAAGAACTTTTGTCTAAATACAATAGCATTTCTGGAAAATCATGGCGACAGCAACAGGGATCCAAGCATTTTATTGGGAAAGGCCTTTTAATGGCCAATGGTGAAGATTGGTACCACCAGAGACACATCATTGCACCCGCATTCATGGGAGACAAACTCAAGGTATATATATGTTCAACTCTGCTACATGTATAAAAATGATTGACAATTTTTTTTTTACGGATTTACAGATGGCAAGATTTAATTGGACAATCACGCTACACTTACACCAGCTTCCTTTACACTTTTCCAATATCTATCCTCTTGATTTTAAATTCATCCATCACATCACTGCACAAATTTCTTCCACGTGAGAGGGAATGTCATCTAAGTGGTAAGAAATGATGTGCAAATAGCATGATTATTAATTGAATGTTAGACAAACAACACAGTTCAACCAGCCAATGCGTTGTTGCCACCTATACATTTCATCTATACAAGGAGCTTAATTCACATATGTATATACACCATGTTTATTCATACGTAGGTAATGCCTCACAAGATGGTGTTTCGTTGAAGGACACTTTAAGTGCTTGTTGGGGAGGGATTTTTGGGGAAATAATTGATTTTGAATAGTGATATGATAGGAAATGTGTGGTTGAAAAAGAAGAAAAAATTATTGATATAATGGAAAATATTGAAAAATGTGTGGTTGAAAATGAGAATTTATTTACTGTAGAATTTTGAGAATCCCTCCCAAACAGAGCCTAAGATTAATACTGGTTTCGGTTTACCTGCAGAGCTATTCGGGGTACATGGTGGAATGCACTAAACAGATGCTCCAATCACTGGAAAATGCAGTAAAAAAGGGTCAAACTGAGTTTGAGATTGGAGAACATATGACTCGTCTTACTGCAGATATTATTTCAAGAACTGAATTTGACAGCAATTATGAAAAGGGCAAGCAAATATTCCATTTGTTAACACTTCTGCAACATCTCTGTGCACAAGCAAGCCGGCATTTGTGCTTTCCCGGAAGCCGGTAGGTTTATTTTTATATTAGAGGCTTTTACTCTTATCTTCTCGACTCACATATCGACCTATATTCCTACGTCAAAAAAAAGAATTTCTCAAAGTGTCGTTTTCTGTGTCTGTTTTGTTTGTAAGAGTCTTTTATTGCTCTCTAAAATAGGGAATAATATGCTTTGAATTCTGTTTCAGACTCTTATTATTAATTATTTATACCTTTCAAGTCATTAAAGAAATCTATAATCAATTTTAAAAAGAAACAGAGTTATGTTCTTTGAATTGACAGGCTAGATTCAAATTAACAAGTGGCACCATTGCATCAATGCAAACAGAAATAATTATATACTACTCAATGACTTATTTTTCAATAATTAATTAAACACTTTTCTGCAGTTTTTTTCCAAGCAAATACAATAGAGACATAAAATCTCTAAACGAGGAGGTAGAAAGATTACTAATGGAGATCATACAAAGTCGAAAAGATTGCATAGAAATCGGTCGAGTGAGTTCATATGGAAATGATTTACTTGGGACGTTGCTAAATGAAATGCAGAAAAGGAAATCAGGCAGTGGATTTAGCATAAACCTACAATTAATCATGGATGAATGCAAAACATTCTTTTTTGCTGGACATGAAACTACAGCTTTATTACTCACTTGGACAGTCATGCTACTAGCTAGCAATCCTTCTTGGCAAGAAAAAGTACGTGCTGAGGTGAACCAGGTCTGCAATGGTGGTTCACCCTCTGTTGATCAGCTTTTAAAGCTCCCTTTGGTAAGATTTTTTTCCTCTTTTTTTATTTATTTATTTTCTTTTTTTTATGGGTTTGGTATGATGTAACTACGAGGGGGCCGACGACATAATGAACTTTCAATGACCTATGTATCATGTTCTATGTATCACGTTTGGTAGGTGAAGTGGGCAATAGTTGAAAAAGAAACATGGAATCTCTTTTTTCCTCCGTCGGAATTTTTTTTCGCTTATATTGGAAGGGCGCTCAATAGCCGTCGAGCGTCTGTCCTAGCTCAGATGAATTTTTGGATCCGCTATGGCCATCGAGCGTTTGTCCTAGCTCATATGAATTCTTGGATCTACCACTGCAGACATTGAGATGTCGATGATAATATTTTACAGTTAAACCAAAACAACTAAAATATTTTTTTTATTTATGCATTTTTACAGTTGAACATGGTGATCAACGAATCACTCCGTCTATATCCGCCAGCAACCGTTATGCCTCGAATGGCATTCGACGACATCAAACTCGGGGATCTCCACATCCCAAAGGGACTTTCAATTTGGATTCCAGTTCTTGCCATACATCACAGTGAAGAAATATGGGGCAAAGATGTAAATGAATTCAACCCTGCTCGTTTTGCATCAAAATCATTTGCCCCTGGACGCCATTTCATCCCATTTGCTGCTGGTCCAAGAAATTGTATAGGCCAATCCTTTGCCCTAATGGAAGCCAAGATTATATTAGCCATGTTAATATCAAAATTCTCCTTCAATATTTCAGATAATTACCGCCACGCCCCTGTTAGTGTTCTTACAATAAAACCCAAATATGGAGTTCAAATATGCTTGAATCCCTTGAATCCATAAACAATTTTGGTTTTATTTTTCTTGGTTTTTGATACATGATATTGAGATTTCAAGAGATGTGTTCTTTTTTCTATTACAAAAATATCACTCCATAATAAAATTGTTAGTGCATTTTGATAATTAAATTTTTTTTTTCTTTTTGGGATTATTGTTAATCAACTAAAAAGTATTGAAGGAATAAAGTAAGTTAGATAAGAGAAGCTCAAGTAGTCAAAGTAACTCTAGGATAAGTCGGAAAGGCCAACAGTGACATGACGGCAATGGATCTGCTTTGCTAATTTGTTCTTTCATTATAAGTCTACTGGAGATGTTAGACGTTGACTTTATTTTAACAATCACAATAGCTTACATCAATCTTGTTCTATTTTTTCTACTTACTTTATCTTTTCTAAGTGATTTTGTTAAAATGATAATCTATTTCAAAACGATTACTTAACCTCATACCCAAAATCAATGCAAGATTGCGAGACGAGAGTTTCAAGACTGCTATTGGAAATCAAATGATACATAACAGTTTTAACTTTTTTTGTTAAATCCAGTGTGCATATCATTGACATAGATCGTGATTTTTTGACCTATTGCAGTGACTAATCAACAACCAAGTACATCAAGTTAATACCTCACGTTTATAAGACCTGTTTTTGGGAAAAATGAAATTGACTTGAAAACTGAAATGATTTGACGTCTGAACATTTGTTTACTATCTACATCATCTGAAGACTCTGAACAATGTAGTGCAACAATTGTTCAACCTGAGTAGTGCAACAATTGTTCTATGGTAAGGGTGTGATTGCCAAGGAACCATGACTCATTAAAAAAATACACATAACATAGATGACAAGACTAATAAACAGAAATATGCAACTGAAAAGTAAAAGTGACATACAAATTTATGAGGCAACTATTTAATAAGAGTAATGTTATTCATCTTCAGTGGGGATGAAAACACAGTTTATGTGTTTTTAAATGATAGATTAAATGAAAGGTGAAATTAAATAACTTATTTAATTTCACTTATCATTTAATACCACATTGACACCACATAAACTGTGTTTTCATCCCCAGTGGAGATGAATAGCATTACTCATTTAATAATTTGCATTCTAGAATTATCTCTTTTTTCATCCAGAACTCTTCCAATGTAAAATTTTACTTATCCAACACCGACTCAACCTAAATGTAACAAAGAAAATATGAAAAAATTACTAACGGGAAAAAGAACAAATGAGGAAAACGTAAACCATAATTAATTATGAAAAACTCACCATAAAAGAGATAATTATCAACAAAATTGAAACATAAATAAACAAAACATCTAGTCCTGACATGTATAGAAGCACAGATTAATTGATCCAAGTTAGTGTTGGCCCACTGAGTATCAGCATAAGATTGACTTGTTTATCTATAAACCAATCTCAAACAAGTTATTTTGCAGAGTTAAAAATGAGTTTAGTATAATTAACTTTGTTATTTGCATGTTACTTCATTTATCAATTATCAATCATTTATTAGCTTAACTCCTTTATCTAATAAGATAAGATTGAACAAGCCATGGATGAGGCAATCTCAAGTAAAGTTCATCTGGCTCAATCATTTTACAACGCTAGACACATATTATAAACAAATTTAATCAAGCGAATGACAAATGCTATAGATACAACCAAATTCAGACCCAGAGGTGAATTGGGAACAAAACAAAAATGAAACATAAAATAAATAAATAAATAATAATAGAAAAAGAAAATAGAGTTCACCTCAAATGCTCAAATGCAACATTGAAATTAAGGCTTGCACATACAATAACAAACTTTTAGCAAATAAAAGATTATTCAAAAATATTTTTCATAACGATGAAAACCCTTTCATTCTCAAAGGTCAATGAGAAGTGCTTGATCTACTCTTTTGTCTTTTAACTTATTGTAGTGATAATGTCATTCTCATAAATCAACGCCAATTAGTTGTAGCAAAAATAGTGATGGGTTAGAGAGGCTTTTTGACGTTTACTTTGATGCCGTAATCAAGTATAATAATGGTTTCATTAACAAAGTGCCCGGCTTTCAATTTGATAATAGCCAAGTTGATAGTTTTTTGACAATAAATAAAAAAGAAAAAGAAAAAGCATTTTCTCTACACCTATCATCTTCTTCCACTAGTTTTGATTCTGCTCTGCCCACTACCACTCTCTTATGTCTTTTTCACCCATTTTACTCCCAAGTCCCAACTTAGTGCCAAAACTCGTGCGAAAATATATATCCCACATCCAGTGGGCGATCGCTAAAGTTGACTTTTATCTTTGACTTAAACAAATGAATGTTGGGAATTGTTATCTGATATCACTTGTTATGAAATAATTAAAATATTTCTTGTTAGAAGAAATATTAATATGTTCAGATCGCTGTTAGTAATGTTGAAAATACAAGAATTATATAATTTTTGAATATCGCTTGATGAAACTAACCATTGGAATGAATTGTTAAAGTTATATGGCAAATAAGGAAATATTAGATCAAGTAAAAGAATAATAAAGACAAGAAATATAGGAGAGAAATTAAGAGATTTTATTGACTCAAGAATAATGGAGAAGAGAGAGAGAGAATTACAATAAATCAGATAATCATATTTATATTGAACATATAGGGAATACCCAAATCCTCTTAGAAAAGTTGTTGATGAAGTAAAATGTCAAAAATCAAGTTCAAAATTATTTTCCAACTCTCAATGGGCTTCCAAAATAAAATTTCAACTTGACATAGGATTCAAATAGCATTCAAAACTGAATTCTTTTTTACTTGCACTTCAATTAGAATTTTTCAATTATTTCAATAAGGAATTTAGGTCACACTCGAATTCTAACAGGAATCAAGCTTCTTATGCACATAGAGGTAACAATTCTAAGAGGGTGTCTGTGGCAGATTTTGTCAAAATTTTAATCTAAAAGCCAACCGTTAGTGGGGCCCGCATGTGTGATGGCCGGTCAACTTTTACGGCTGAAAGGATGTGCAACGTTCTGAAAATGAATTATTTTGGCCAATTTAATTGATACCAGACAGGGCCTAAATGTGTAACAAGATGAGGCTTAGCTTGTATGCTTATAACTATTTGAATATCTTGTTCTTACAAATCAGTTTTAAAGATCGGTTTGCCGAAAGAGTGACCTAAGAATGTTAGTCCAAGAAGAAGACTTTTTCGTGAAATCGCCTAGTTGGGAATTGGGTCAAGTGTAAATTCGATAAGTCATATAGTGTAAATCAGAATGTACATGTAGCAAGATTGTTACAAGAAAATTGTAGACTTAAACAACTCATTTGATCGAGAAAAAGTTGAAATAATTTCGGATTGAGAACTTGAAATATTACATATAAATATAATCACTATTTAATGCATTAATTACTTTTGATTAACATATATAAGTCGAGTCAGAAACTGGCGGAAGCACTTAAACCATCTACTAATTGAACGATCAAGGCTCATTATAAGCTAAAGAGTCCGATACCAAACGTGCCATTTATTTATGTGCATATATGGATTTGAATTTTTTTTTTTTTTAATTTCTTTTTATTGCAATATGCATTAAAACATATATTGTCTTTCACTATTTTATTTTTCCCTCTGTCTCAATTGACACATATTATTCATTTTTTTTTTTACCTCAATCTATAAATCAACCCTACTCGTATTCACACTGTCGTTCAACTTTAAAATACGAACAAATCCCAGTAATTTAATCCTAGAATTGGTCGAGATTGGGAAAAAGTTCTAATAACACTAATATTTGTATTGTACAATTATGTAAGTATATAGTTGTAAGTAAATAAATACATATATTCACCTATCATTTCTTGTACGATAGTGCATTGGCATATGAGCATAGGGTTGGACAAAACTCACAAATCGAATTAGATCGAACTGGACTAGAATCGAATCGAGCGGTTCTTCTTAAGTTGTATAACCAAACGATTATCTAAATCGAGAACCGACCGGTTTGGTTCGGTTCTCGATTCTAGACCAATAACCGAACCTCCCTAATTTTTTATCTTAAATAAGTCAAATTATTTGATTTTTTTAAAAATAAATTGCTAACTAATTAATTTAGTCGAAACCCAAAATATGATTTTACTATTTCTAATTTTAAGTCAAGCTCAACTTAATTAAATTGACATACAGGTGCTCCCCCTAATAAGAGGGCACCACATGTACATTATGAACACCATTATGTGTACCATTATGTACATGTAGCATAACCCTTATTTTTTTATCTAACTTCCAGTGAAAGAGTGTCGATTGTCTATCTCTATAAAAACTTGGCAAATCTTCTGACAATATAGTACGGTTGAAATCTTTGTGTAAAATATCAATGGATACATAAGGTCAAATCAATCGCCCTTCCTAAATGAAACTTTGAAATCTAATCATGATATTCTCCAAAGAAATTATGCTCCACTGTCCATTGACATTAACCCACCACGAAATATAATGTTGAGTTCTAAATGATTAATGGCAATAAAATCGCAATAAGAAAAAAGAATAAAAAAAACAGGCAAAATTCATGGCGGTTTATTTCAATGTAAGATTATGTCATCTTTCTTCGCTACAGTAATTCGTTATGATAAGAAGAAATTTACAAAAAAAAAATTGTACGCTCTGTTTGATTGCTACATTTTTCATGGAAAATGTCATATTCGAGGAAAATGAATTTCACTTTGACCGTTTGATTGTAACGTAGAAACGGAAACTGAATTCTAAGGTACAATCACTTTAAACTGCATTTTCTTTATTTTCATGCAAAACAAATTTATATAAATTTGGTGAATTTTTATTTTCCAACTAAAATGGAATTGAAATTCCTTTTCACATGTCTATCAAATGATCCTAACTTCTCTCTTTTGTTAGGAAAATTAGTGGTTTTCCCAATAATTATTTAGGAGGTTGGAAAAATCAAAGATTTTTCTATTTAATGCAATTCCTATATATTTAGGAGGTTGGGAAAATCAATGATTTTT